CATCAAGCGCCCTTCAAGAACAATGATTAGAAGGAAAAATATCAATAGTCATGATTTAATAGTAGGATATTTAATGACATGCAAAATGTGTTTATAATTCAGGAGGCTATTTTCTCTCAGCTTTCCTCTTTGCAGGCTAATTTGAGCTTTGTCTATAGGCGTTGTGAGGATGTGTTAATATAGGAATGTGAACAAGATGGGGAGTTCTCGATGAAGTCTATATACAGGTTACTATATCATGATAGATTTGAAAAGGTGCTTCCTTAGATGGTTTAGTTATGGAAACTGTCTGTTCTGCATAAACTTCAAGTTTTTCTTTGGGTTCTCTTATAAGAAAAGGTGCTTGTTATTGATAAAGGGTTAGATCCTGGTTAACATTTGTCTACTTTGTAAAGAGGATGAGGAGGATGTTAAACACCTATTTCTTCATTGTCCATTCACTCAAGAAATTTGGGTATGAGCTTTCATTGTCCATTCACTCAAGAAATTTGGGTATGAGCTTTTGGCATGACGGGGGTTCAGTTGCTTTTGCTTCAATTTGTAGCCTCTACTTTTCATTAGCTCGATATTCCGAGTATCCCAAAGCGTGAGTAGATTATATGAACAATCTTTAGGGAGGCTATTCTATGGGAATTATGGAAGGAGCGTAACCACAAAACTTTTGATAGGGCTATTCTTACTTCCATAGAGATTAAGGAGAAAAATTTTCAAGACTTGTGGTGTTTGTTCTCAATTACTAAGGAGGGAGGAGGTTTCTTGAAGGTGGACATTTGGAAATCATAAGTAAATTTTAAAAAGTAGAAATAATAATTTTAGTAAGAAAATATTTGGACCGTTATTTTCTATTATTTTTAGATAGAAGACCTACTTGCATCCATCTTTAAGATGAATGCTGCATCCACTTTTTGAACCGCATATGTAGCCATGCGGTCCAGCCTGTGTGAAACCATTTTCCTTTCCTCATTAGAATTGAAGTTTTACCTTATTTAGAAACTCTAGGTTGAAATAGGATAGATGTGAATTAAATAAGTTTCCTAATTTAAGAACTGATATAAATTAAAGGGAAAAGTTTATATAGAGCCGAGGCTCTAAACGATCAAATTTGAGTCTATCTCAAAAATTTCATTATAAGAGGTTGTTTTGATGTTCAAATATCTTCAAATTGATCATCTCGACATCAAGAAGCATGGACACAAGAAAAAAATGGATTCAAGTTTTGGAAATAGTGTATTTTGTAACACATTTTTGGACTGTCAATTTTTAAGACTTTCAAGTTTTCATTTATATGTCGATCTACACTATTTTTGAAGCTTTAAACTATATAAATAAATATAAAAATAGATTTTAAGGCTATCACAAAGATTTCCAATATTGAAACCACATTTTTCGATTCTATTTGAAGGTAGGCTCTAATTTGATTGTTTAGAGCCTAGGCTCTATACAAACCGCACCCTAAATTAAATCATGTTTGCGCTTTGATAATTCAAATTAAATATGTCCCATATTTTCGGGGTTTGAGAGAATTAATTCATACCATCTAATCGGACTTGAAATGCATTGTCAAAGACATTAAGAAAATTGATTTGTGAAAAAAGATTACATGTACAATTGCACCACAAGAATGGGCTCAAGGCTTGGTGCACAAGCATGATGTCTTGAGTTCTATTCCTACTACAAATATGGGATCCTACCCCATTAAACTATTAAATAGATAAATAAATAAAAAAACCGCTCCACCATTTATGCATTGGGACAAAAAATTTAAAGGACAATTTTTTAGTCCCTAGACTCATATGTAGAAATGCAACCCCCCTTAATAATCCATTTCCTTGGGACAAAAAATTTAAAGGACAATTTTTTATTACCTAGACTCATATGTAGAAATGCAACCCCCCTTAATAATCCATTTTTTAAATAAATTTTGACGTTGATTTTCAAAGAATATATAATTCTTAATATGGAGATCATTAAAGTGTAAAAATATAAAAAGTAAAAATTAAAAATGATAATGTTTAGAAGAATATTTGAGCCATGGATTTTTCCTTTTCCTTGGAGGTATGTCACTTACATCCATCTTTATATAGATAGTTTACGCATAGGGGGATGCAAATGTAGAAATGTGTTCCCCGACGCATAAAATACTTTTCCAAAAGTCAAAGGCGAAAGAGGTACCGGTAGTAAACTGGTGTCAATGCAGCTCTACAGTTTTGGTCGCATGCCGCAAGGGGACTCGTCTGCCGCCGCATCCAACCTTGGCCAAAGAAACCCACCCATCCTTATTTCTCGTAAAAATAAAATAGATTCGAATTATAGATGTTCCCCATTTTTCGTGTCACAAATAGAAAAGTAAGACGGTAGGTGGACACTGCTGGTTAATTCAAATTAAATGAGGTTCCTATTCTTAGGAGATTTTAATAAAATTAAATATATGTCCTATTCTTAGGAGACCTAAGTGTTTTTGGGAGACCCTAAGATAAATACAAGTCCATACGTGCACGATCTATGCTAATTCATAGGGCTGCCAATGGTCAGGGTCCGAGCCTAGGCCGGGTGGAGCACTGTCCCGGGATGGCCCAGTAAGGCTCAGCCCAGAATAAGCCCACAAACAACCAGGCCAGGTAAGCCCGGAAAAATGTATAGAGGCCCGGGCCTGGACCACGACCGGCACGGTAGGTTTGTGGCACTTTCCTTTTTCCAAATTTTAATGCTAAGTTCCAAACAAACCAAAAAAGAAATAAAAAAAAAAAAAAATGAAAAGATACAAAATCGGTGCTATGTTGAATAGAGTAAGTTTTTCAAGATAACAGCTCGACCAAAGTATGGAAGAATGATCCATATGTTGATTGGTGAGGGTAACATGGAAATGATGGACTGGCACTCATATCTTCGTGAAATTTAAGTTTTACAGTATTTTCCGGTCTTCTTACCTTTATTATAGAAAAAAAAAAATGTTCTGCTTGCTGATGTATGTTTTTTATTAATACTGTGGACCTACATCATTCCATGCCATGTCAAATGTGTGCACAGTGCAAAGTAATATTCATGGAAGTATTTAGTAGATAGGAAATGCTTGTTCTTAAATAATTAAGAGAGTCGTATAGAAAATATTTCTCACGAGGTGGCTTTCAACTGCATATTCACGAAATCTGCTTTAGGATGTAAAATTATTTTTGACCTCTGCATTCTCATCCCTGGACCCAATCTTTATAGATAAAAAAAATAAAACTATGGTTCAAGAAATATCATCCGTATTCAATCAGCGATGATCAATAGAATGTCGAAGATTACTTCTTGTACTAGCTACTCATATAACATGTATAAACAAAACTTTCATGTTCTTTTACGTAGCTAGCTGCATCTCTTAGGAGTTCGATTTATGTGTTTTTTCCAATGGTTTAAAAAACGGATCGGTAATTCGGATCGGGTTTCCAAAAAATCGATCCGGATCGGCAAATCGGCGATCCGGATCGGGAATCGGGTGAATCAGTCAGAATAAAACTTAAAAAAAATTCGAAAAAATTATTAATATTCATTATAAATATTGTTTTTTAGGAATTCAATAAAAAATAAGGGTACTCCGTTAAGAATTTTCATGTTTTTGAATGAATATGCGAATATTGATATGTTGTTTCCCTGCATGAACTGCCATTCAGCATTTAATTTACAGTATTTCGTGCTCATCCCTACACTGTTGCTATTGGGACTCGATATGTGAATAATATGGCTGGGATAGGGTGGCCTCAAAATCATCATCTCTCTCATTTTCTCTTTGAATAATATGGATTAAAAAAAAAAATTAACAAATTTTCAAAAAAATCGATCATGGATTAAAAAAAAAATCACAAATTTTCAAAAAATTCTATCATGGATTACAAAAAAAAATTCGATCATGGATTAAAAAAAAAAAATCACAAATTTTCAAAAAATTCAATCATGGATTACATAAAATTCGATCATAG